TAGTATTGTCATGTCTGTATGCGCTTCGTGTTCCAAGATGAAGATTCGTTGTGCGGCACGGGTCTATCGGACTTAGAACGAAAACCGGCGAATTTTGTTAAGAGTTCTCAAAAAAGTAGTGTCAAACTTGAAAAAAGGTCCATTGTTGGTCACGCCTACAACATTCCCAGTTTCGAATGGTACAAGTATCATAAGTGTACATATTCTGTACTCCGAGCATGAATAGCGTTACGCGTGACATCGCACTGAGATCAATACTCGTTCTTCTACCACTGAGTAGGTGCAGGTGGTGGTAAAGAACGAGTAAAAAAATAAGAGGAAAAGTAGTGTAAAGATCGAAGCTTGGTTTCATAGCTTTGATTGAGAGTGATGCCGCAACAAGATTGTTGAATACAACTTACAAAAAAAATAAAAAGATAAGGGTCCAAATTATGGAAAATTACGGGAGTGAAACTCGTAGATTACAAAGGAGGGAGAGGATATGGACATTCAAGATGGGCTATGGATATGCTTTTGAACCCCATCTCCCAAGCAACAATAAAATCTGCACAAAGAGAGACATAGACAAGGACATACTTCTGGTTTCCTTGATGTCTTCCATGGGTAACTAAATGACTTGACAAAGTTTCTCACCGAAAAAAAAAAAAAATAAGAAAAATGCCATTTGCAGTTTGTAATATTAACACAAACATTATTTAACACAGATGGACTTCTGATGTAAATAGAAAATATAAATTTCTATAGCAAGAGGAACAGACCTCCAACTTTTTACAATGTGAATCATAACAAAGAAACATCAAAGCCTTCAAAAAACCATGATATTAGTAGGTACTTACTTTCATCTGTTTGAGGAGCAGAGAGAATGGCAGAGTGTTTCTTCTTCACTTCTTCCACATTTGCTTGAATCTTGTCTATCATTTCCCGTATTTCTTCCACCTAAAAATGAAGAAATGCATGAAATTAGTCAGTTTCACGCAAAAACATAGAAACATGTTATGGAAGATGACAAGCTAAGGCCTGAGAAACCAATTACTGGCCGTTACAGAAACTAAGAAAGAAAGCATACCTCAGCGAAGAATTCATCCATGAAGCCATCACGGCTTTCAACCGTGACAGCCACATCATCCGGGCCCATGTCATCATCGTCGCTTTGCGCCTGATGGAACAAAGATACAAAATTATTAGGAATAAAAGACATACCTAGCATTACTAAAAGAAAATGAAAGGTAAACTTAATACCAGGACCAATTATTTGTCATCATTTGCACATGGTTCACAAATTTTTCCTACAGGATGAGATGGGACAGTGTCTACATGTTACTTAAAAGTGGGTACACATGTATAACATTGCTTTTACTTATAAAACATAAAAAACTGTATCAGAATAAATTTATTTCATTTCTTTTCTTAAAACTGTAAAATATAGAACCAATGGTCAAAATGTCATACAAACGACTAGCATGACGACTTTAGAAAAAGAAGGGATACGACATAACCTCTTTGATTAGTAACTTGCAGGTGAAATTTTGCAATAATAAAACATTAAATTCTTTAAGCATTTGTGGATCAAGTTTCGAGCAGCAGTCTGAAAACTATAACAGCAAATCGAGTCAACATTTTAGCCTGTTGACAATACAATTTGACAACCCTGAAGTGAAGTGATCAAGTCCAAAAATTGCAGGGTATTCTTACTGCTTTCGTAATGGCAATACCATGACCCAATGAAAAATATGCAGAGGCAATCTTTGATAGTAAAATGAGTAATGTTAGAACTATAAATCTGTGACAGGATGTTCGTTAAAAGCGGTTTATTCCCAAGCGATGACATCACTTCCAAACCCCTCCCTCGACGGAAAAGTCCTAACCCAGTTTGAAGTGACAACAGGCACGGGTAGAGTAAAGTGAGCGTCATGACAAGTGAAAAATGTAGGGACGCGATAGGAGTCTAGAAAAAGTGTTGGCATTTAACCAAAATAACAAGGATCGGCCTTTGCTTAAAACATGTTAATGTAGGAAAATGATGGCGAGGCCTTGCCCTCAGGATCGCGGTTAGTGTTTTCTTACCGCTTTGAGCGCCGCTAGTCTGTCCTTCGTCATTTTTCAGCCGTGCTATTCACACACACTTAACACGGTAAAACTCAAATAAGCGTCCCATTCACAATATTACCCATGAAAAGACACTAAAACTAACGAAACAGACACTACAATCATAAAAATCGATACACTCTGCAGTGCTGTCTGCTTCTGTGCGACTGCGCTAGTGACGTCATGGATTTGACAGGGTTGGATACGAGCGCAAACGACTGTTTGTGGGCGTGGCGTCCAAGAAATTTCAACGAAAAAAATGGCTGCTTCTCAACAACAATGTTTGTCAGCACATTATCTTCTGAAAGAGAGAGAAAGGTTTTAAAATTTCATTTCTTTAAAGTCTAGATAATGCCAGGAGTGTTTAATTTTCAAACAGCGCCTTCCCGACAGTTGCTTTTCCCGCTGCGCGCCACTTTCAAACTGTTTCAAACACATCTCGCGGTACAGACAGGGCCTCCCTCACTTCTTACATTAAAGTTCTCTGTGGGTCAAAACATTTTCTCAGAAGAATTGAGACAAATATTTGTATTTGGAGTTGCATAAAATAACATTCTTGCAACAGTTCAGGTCATGCCTCTCACACTTATTTAACCCTAAAAGCGTATTCACCCAGGCATGCAAGTGAAGTGTGGGCCACTACAGGATCGGGTGATTTTGTTGCACCTCTTGTTGTCCTTCTCACTCTTCAACAGAGGTAGGGGGCTTATGATTATCTCCGTCTCCGTCGCACCTTTATTCATACGTAGTACCGGCTAGCCCCCGTTTTCAAAGAAAGTGACAACTGTCGGGAAATGTCCAAGCCAAATTTTTGGAGATTAAAAAGAAAAGCCAAGGACAATGCCCAGTCAGTCGACGTGAAGACTCCAAAAATATCTCAGAAAACAATATCAAGCTTTTTCCGTTCAAAACCAGAACCCACTAACCTTCTGGGTGGACAGTCTGAGGTAAGAAGTCTTTGTTTGTAGATTTTATTTCTATTATAGTCTGAATGAAAAAGATGTCTTATGAATATAAAAGTCCAGGTATGTTCTTCAAATATCACCTGTGTCCTTGTGCTGTCATTGGATTTTTAGGTAAAAAACAAATCCAACAATCTTGGTCGTCATGGATAAAGTGGCTCAAAATTTACAGCAAAACTCTCCCCTTAATTAATGCTTTCACTCTATTTTCTTGGAATAATGGAATTTAATCTGTAACATCAATAAGTGTTCCAACTTTGTTGTAATTGATGACACACTGATTTCAGAAAGAGGATTCAGAATCATCACAATCTTCAAGTCAGCCCAAGCGTCAAAAATTACAAGACGAGTCATGTGCATTAACACTTGAAAAAGTACCAGTAAAATTATCGGATAGTGCTTTATCAAAACTTCAAAGCTTTTCAACTTCATCAAAATCTTATGAAGACAATGAAACAATCCAAAGTAATCTGAGACCAGCTAAAAATATTCCTAAAACCTCATCTGCCTGTAATGGTGGTAGAACAAAACCAGATGATGATAGTGAAAATGAAGATGACCCTGATACGGTTGTATCATCAAACATTAAGTTTGATGCATTTAGATCCAATTCTCAAGGAAAACGTTCTTCTCAAAATGTGGTATGCCAAGGTAAAACGGGAAAGGTCAAGTATACTCCCTTAGAACAGCAAGTAATGGACCTTTGGAAGCAGCATCCTGGCATCCTTCTTTTCATTGAATGTGGGTACAAATATAGGTTTTTTGGAAATGATGCTGAAATTGCAGCTCAAGAGCTCAATATATACGCTCATATGGATCATAATTTTATGACTGCAAGTATTCCTGTGCATCGCTTACATGCACATGTAGCTCGTCTTGTTGAAAAAGGTTTGTTTTAAAATCTTTTCATCACTGAGTAGTCTTTCTTATATTCTGAGGACTAGCTTTTTATAATCTATAAATATTTCAGGACATAAAGTTGGCATTGTTAAACAAAGTGAGACTGCTGCCCTTAAAGCTATGAGTGACAACAAAAATGCCCCATTTACTCGTAAATTGGAAAACCTCTTCACTCGTGCTACTCTTATAGGCGAAGATATCCTTTATAAACGATTTCCTTGTTTTCTTTTACACTTTACAATTGTACAATCCTTGACTGTTCTTTACATGTGGACTCAATTGATCAACAAAATTTGCTCTTGGATGGGGTTTTAAGTGCTGGGCACATATTCTGTCTTAATGAAACTCATCAAGATGCCAAAACAACCAACATTATATTTGTGGTTTGTTCATTGAAACTTATTAGGTTACTAAAATGTTATTTGTAGACTTCCTAAAAGAGTTAAATTATCTTTGCAGGCCATCAATCCATCCACAGGAGAGTGCACATATGAACAATTTTCCGACAACAGTGGCCGTGAAGAACTACACAAGCGCCTTCAAATGATAAATCCTGCAGAAATATTGTGCCCTCCTGCTGTATCTAAAGATACTGAGAGACTGCTTAACCACAGGTGAGATCAACACATTGTTATGAAAAGCAACATTATTTCTTTTAATTTTTTCAGTTTGTAATATTGAATATTACTATTCTATAGCCAAGCACGAATTGAAAAACTACCATTGGAATGGTTTGAAACTACAAGTGCTTTAACACGAGTAACCAGCTATTTTGCTAAGGGCAACTATGAAGCAGGAGCTCTTGAAGGACTAACTGATTTACCTTCTCCTGTATTGGCTTGTTTAGCAGCTATACAGCAGCATTTGGAAGAATTTGGTTTACACCGGGCTATTAGACCAGACTGGTAAGTTCTTTTATTTCCATTATTTTCATAAACTATGATTCTAAAGTGGACAATTGCTGATATTTGTCTCCCATGCTATGTTTTAACTCAAGTCTCCAAGCATTACCATCAGGCAAAGGCTTTCTTCATTTGGATTCTTCTACCATACGCAACCTGCAGTTATTTACTAATGACTGTGGAAGTGGTGAAGGCAGTTTATTTTGGGCTCTCAATCACACAAAAACTAAGTTTGGAGCTAGACTTCTTCATAAATGGATTGCCCAGCCGGTTTGTAACAGGGAAGTTTTAGAGGACAGGCAAGAGAAATTGACTGAGCTGCTTCAAACTGATCATGAAATTCTTACTCAACTCAAGGGAATATTGTCAAATTTACCCGATATTGAGAAGGGGTTGACAACAATTCTTCACAATAAGGTATGCTGTCTTTTTCATTTCTTTGATGATGAATAATTCTGTGAAACTTTACTTTCTCATCTTAATTTTCTCTTCTAGTGTAATCCAATACAATACTACACCATTCTAGAGGCTTTATGCACTATGAGATCAGATCTGTTGTCACTATCAACATTTGTTGAACAAGAAAATAACTGTCCACTCCTCTTCCAATTGATAAAAGAGACTGTTGCTTTGCTTGATGATGTCCAGGCATACAGAGATAACATCAATGTTACAGCTGCTAAGTTAGTACCCTCGGAAAACAATGGTTTTGTATATTTTTTCTTGCATTCTAATTATTTATGCACCCCTCCTCATTGTTCTAGGGAGGGAAATAAAACAAAATTGTTGAAAGATTTTTCTGCGTTTCCCAATGTTTTGAAATTTATGAGTGATATTAAAGATACAACTGGGGCATTAGATGACTTAAGACCTGAAATTGCTTCAAAACTTTCTTTATTTTCTGTTCAGTACACTTCTGTGTCTGGTCAGGAATATCTTATCGAAGTTAAGAACACAAATGCTAAATGTGTTCCAGCAAATTGGAGAAAGATCAGTAGGTATGTGGAGTGTTGCAGCATTATTGCCTGTTTGCTAATTGCTAACAATTGTTAAAAGTAATGTTTCTGTTTCTTATTTCATCACACAGCACAAAGCAAGTTGGGAGGTACAGGCCTCCAGCTGTTGATAAATTATTTGGGGAGCTCCAATGTCTACGAGAAATGTTGAAGACAGAGTGCAATCAAGCCTGGATTGGCTTGCTGCAAGAATTTAGTCAACAGTATTTTAGACATAAGCAGGCCGTTAATAAAGTTGCTACCATGGATGTCCTTCTTTCATTAGCTCATGTTGCTCAACAAGAGGGGTACTGCAGGTAGGTTGCCTCTATCAAATTATTGCTACCTTCTTGATAGCATCGTTTATCTTTCATCCAATTTTTTTTCTTTTTGCCAGACCTAAAATAGTGGAAGGCGACAACTGCAAAATAATTATAAAGAAAGGAAGACATCCAGTTATTCCTCTATTATTGGCCAGTGCTGGACAGTTTGTCCCTAATGATACACAATTAGATGTAATTTTTATTATTTTCCTGGAAGTTATTCAGAATATTCCATTGCTGCATTCCATGATAACTATTTCTCTGCTTTTTCTCTGCAGAGTGCTGGGGAATGTTGCATGGTTTTATCAGGCCCAAATATGGGAGGCAAATCATGTTATATCCGTCAAGTTGCTTTAATTGCTCTTTTAGCACATATTGGTTCATATGTACCTGCTGAGTATGCTGAAATTTCTTTGTTGGATTCAATTTTCACGCGGTAAATAACTTTCTTTGATTTAACATAGTTGTGAATATGTTTGTACCATTTGTTTTTATATATTATGTGGTCTACCAATATTATAATATTTCACAGAATGGGTGCACGTGATGAATTATTTCACGGTCGGAGTACTCTTATGGTTGAGTTAGAAGAAACTGCAGCAATTCTTCAAAAAGTTTCTAGAAACTCTCTTGTTCTGCTCGATGAACTAGGTCGAGGAACAGGGTCATGTGATGGATCTGCTATTGCATGTGCAACGTTACGCCACATTGCAATTGAGGTATATGCCCTTTCACAATCAACTGCATTTCCTGTCATTGCTGTCACAATTTAGATGTTAAACTAATATTCAATTTTCAGATTAACTGTCTTTCGTTGTTTGTTACTCACTACCCCTCGGTGATGGACACAGCAAATGAGCTGGATAAAAAAGCTGCAAATTATCACATGTCATTTGTCTTGCACAATCAGGGTACAGTGCCTAAAATTTCCTTCATTTTTTTTCTAAGCTTAACTATTAACCTATTAATCTTTTTCTGATTACCACTGCTGTCCAGATGAAACTGAGTTCCTCACGTTTCTGTATGAAGTTACTAAGGGTGCAGCTGACCGCAGTTATGGCATTAATGTGGCAAGGCTAGCCAATTTGGACAGGAATTTACTTCAAAGAGCTGCAACTATTGCAGCTGATTTGGAGAAACAGGCTCGTCAACGAAGGTATGAACAATCATTTATATATGACTTCTCAATTTCACCTTTTCACTTTGTCATTTGGCAATTAATTCCTATGGGGAATGGTTTTTCAGAGATTTAAGGCATTCATTCTCAGCAATGTGGAATGAACACCAGCATTGACTCACCATTAGCCTTATTGTGATGAACACCAAGTTTGAGCTGTCATGGCTGCAAACTCACTTGCATGAAAATTACACTGGTTGTATGATTGAGTTTATATTATACATCACATTATTGTAAGCTGTGTATCATGAACTGGAAATTATTTGCATCAAATTCAGTTCATGATACAAAGTTTGCAAGTTAAACTAAACTGATGTTGCCCTGCCTCTTAAAATCATTAATTACTGTGAATTTTTTGATAATTTATTTCTTATGCCATAAAATAGTATATACAAAAAAAGTTACCTGGACATGCTTATATGCCACAAAATACAATACATGGATTCAATGTATTTAAGTAGTATATGGGTTGAGTAACATGAGTAAAACAAATTTTCTATCCATATTGCATGAGTACACAGTAACTACGAAAAGGAGATCAAGTAGACCACAATATTAATGCTCAAGCAAAAGTAGGTTTGTGTAGAGTCAAATCACAGAATAGTTAAATTGTGTTGGTATCAATTTGCAGTTTCACAAGCATCTATCCAGTCATTGTAAACATCCACTGGCTCAGATAGGAAGTTTATAGTGGTTTGAAAATCTTCCATACAAACTCGACATGTTATTCGACCAGAATTTCGACCCTTGTCCCTGGAAGAAAATTTGATTTACAAAAAGAAATGATTATGCTAGGTGAACAGGACAAAAACGCTATGACAGATCTCATATTATGGTGGTCACTTACATTTTAACTTCACATGATCTTTCGTGGTTGCAGAATGGACAGGTAAATTGAGTGTCAAGGGGTTCTATTGCTCTGCGCTTGGGTGGAGGCTTTCTCTTGGACTTACGCCGTCCCATTTTGCTGAGGAAAACAGAAACACAATTAACAATAAAGCTATTTAATCAACAAGATAATCACTAGGAGTTCAAAATATTACAGTAGACGTCACTTGATTAAATATACGAGTAAATAACAACAAACAATAGATAATTACTGCAAAGGATAGAAATGTAAGATTTCGAGCTGAAAGGTACAAAGTCGAGAAGCAGACAGTCAAACGAAATAATCCTACAATGTCAAGAGAGGGTTCAATTTCCATAACCTCACGTTGAGTTAAGTTTAAATACTTCGAAATTCTAAAACGATACTGGGATGATCAACATGTACATAAAACTTACTGTAAGTATTGACCGGAACTGAACCAATCAAGAAATGGGCAGATCTATACCTCCTGGACACTATTTAAATGCGGCGGATAAATTCTGTTCAAGTTTTTGTAGGCTTTGCTTTGCTTTGATGTGCGCTTTTACCGGAACCTCTCCCCCGTCCCCCCCCCCCCCCTTTCCCGCGCTATAACAATTGACTCGCGGAACGAAACGCAGCGCCAAATTACAAATGGGGTGGGCAAACAGAGGTGAGGAATACCATTGATTCAAAACATCTAAAACTTTAAAATTTTAATTCAACATAAAGTTTAAAATGGAGAGCTTTTTAGAGATTTTGGAAGTGATATGGAACCATGAATTAGCTTACTTCACTTTCTTCTCTCTCGTAACTTTTTAACGAATGTTACTCTACATCTATTCTGAATGTTGTAATATGACAAAGGTTTTCCATCTTCTTTGAGAGGTTGACCCTCAAATGAAAGCCAATGAGAGCGCCAAATATACCGCCAACTCAACTTCACATTGTTCTTCTGACGCATCAACCTCAATGAAAGAAACCGTCTAAGAGCTTGCTTGAGATCCAAAACTGTAGCTGTTCCTTGGGGTACCTGAAAAAGGTAACCCAAATAAAACAGATACCAGACAGTTTCAAGATAATTTTGGGAGTGAACAGTGCGACACACAGAGAAAAAAAGGACAAAGTTGAAGTCACAATAAAATAAAGTACAGAAAAGAAGAATTGATACAAGCACTTACAACTATTGGAAGTTCCTCTCCATCACCACGAAGAACATAAACTGTCATGGACCGACCAAATTGCAGAGCTATTTGTGCATTCACCTCTTCCAAAGTGACTTCACTTGGCAGATCTCGCAAAAGTACATCCTTTGGTAGAAGCTCTGTCAAAGTAGAGTTGGTCAGCTTCATTAGTTCTTCATGGTTAAGGGAATCTGAGTCGCTGTCAGTTTCAGCAGAATTTTTTTCCATCGTGTTTAGGGAGGATTGGATTGTCTAGATCTCTCTTTAAGGCAATCACCCTTCACGGATACTCAGCACATGCCCGGTCAAAGGCAGAGTCGAAACTAGAAATACATATACAAACACAGTAATAGGACATCAGGACATGTTACATGTTATTTTGTGTTGACAAACGGATCTGCGAAGAAGCGTGA